CTCAGTCTTAAATATGGAAAGCATATTTGAGAAAGTTACCTCTAATCGGGATCGATAATGCTCAAATCTAACCTAATCAGATAAAAATTATGTGAAAAGTATCTAACTTTAATTTAGATTCAAACTAACTGGGGAACACACACATACATAGCTTCCCCCTTCCCTCTATGTGTGTGTGTGTAGACACACCTTATTCGTTTATACTTCACCATTGATTCTTCACTCACAAGGTACTTTTTCATGTGATCATGATTTGCTGTACTGTATACGTAGGATAATAAAGAACCAAAAAAAGCTTTGAAGAACTGTGTTAATTGTAAGATTTAGTTCAGTGGTCGAGTCCAACATATGATGTATATGGTGATTTAATTTAGGTATTTGACTATTCTTCATGTTCAATAATTTAGTTTAGCCAAAAAATAATTATTTATTTTTATTACTACATATAGTCTTTAATATAAAACTTAATTGACTAATTTGGAAAGATTAAAAAAGTTAGTTGTGTTAATTATTTGTAATAAAAAGATGTTATTTTTCCTAAAATGCACTTATTGATCATGTGTGTTTGAATTACAAATTGATAAAACTCCATAACATATGTAACTATGATAGGGATTATTTGAGAAAAAAATAGATAAATATTGGAGACAAAGTGACTTAGAGTTTTATATTTAGGACCAAATTAAAAGTCAAACTAACTCTTATATTAAGGATCGAGAGTAATATTTTTTATCTAGAGACACAAAAATATTGATTGATTTTTTTTTTTTTACATTCGATTCTCCTTTTTTGTGTGTGCTAATCATAAGTATTATTTTATTGAAGATAATCTTATTCGAGACACTGTCAAATACTATATATGGATATCTCTCCCAACAAAGATTCAAATATTAGTTTATCACATTGTAAGGATTAATCCTTTTTGAGGTCACATTTGATTCTCCTTCTCATTCTCTATCTCATTGTGTGTGCCTGACGAGTCAACATCCACCCATCCCCATTTGCTCATCAGCGTTGTCACCCTAGCTGCCAACCAATTGCTCATCTAGAGGGGAAAGTGCATATTAGTACAACTTTAGCCTTCCATTCATGTATTGTGTGTGTTTTGGCAAAAAGAAAAAAAATTGCGTATGTATTTGATATATAAATATATGTGTGCACATTTTATTGTGAAAAATTGAAGATATATATCCTACCTACAATTCTTAATATAAGAGTTAGATAACTAATTTATAAATATTAAAAAAATTAGTTAAATTGTTTATTTGTAATAAATATATATTATCTTTCTTAAAATACTCTTATTAATTATGTGCATTAAAACTACTACTTATTGAAACTTTTAATATGTGCAATCACACCATAGGAACTACTTAATTAGAGGGAAAAAATGGATACATACAAGAATCAAAATAGATTAAGTTCTTATATTTATGATCAAATTGAATTTCTGATCAATTTTTATATTAAGGAGCAGAAGTAGTATATACCTGGGATTCAAAAGTTACATGCCAAAATGTCTTTAAAAAAAGAAAGAGTTCGAAACATACCTTCTATAAACTGAAGATGATGAGTAAATTAAAACTATATATGCCAAGTAGCTAGAGTAGGTGTTTTGTGTGTGTGTGTGGTGTGTGTGTGTGTGAGATCAAATGTGCTTTGGGATTCATTAGTCTTGCCCGAGGAGGACAGGTAGCATAACATTATAATGAGAAGGATACAAAGGAGGTAGATAGGGTATGGGCAATTGGATCTGATACTTTCTGATAGATGATTTATTGATATATGAAGGGCTTGACTGGTCAGTGAAGCGGGGTAAGTATAACTAAGAAGGTATGACAGGTATGTAAAAAGTACTACTTCTCTTCTCCGGTTTAAAAATGAGGTATACACAAAAGAATGAAATGAGACTAAATTGCCCAATGTATATTTGGTATTGCGTTAGCAGTTTTAATTTGATCAAAGTAATGTAAGAGTGGCTATTGATCAAAACGTGGTTTCTTTGTTATCGAAATCAATATAATACCAAATACTACCTCCGGTCCTTAATATAAGACCCTGTTTGACTTTTATTTTGGTCTTAAATATAAGACCACAATCCACTTTGTCTGTCATATTTACTCAATTTTTTCCAAGATAATCCTTCAAATAATTATAGTTCTAATTAATATACTTGATTAGTAAGGATATTTTAGGAAAGACAATATCTATTTCGGATAAATAACTAACTCAACTTACTTCCTTAATCTCCTCAAATTAATCAACTGGCTCTTATAATTTCCGGATGTAGTACGTCATTAGCATAGGACTTTTTATACGATCGGATGAGGGTGTATTTGAATTATCAGTAACAAAAATGGTTTTTATTTCATCTTATTTTTGTGAATTTAAGTTAGCGTAGAAGTAAGATAGTATAATGTGATTTATATTTAAAAAACAGTACTGGTTTGGATCATTTATTAAAGTACATGATTTTATTAAATATATATTATATGCATATTATGTGATAATTAAGAGAAATATTGAAGTTAAAATTATAAAAATAAAAACAGCTAGTGCATTATTGAAAAACAATTATGAATATTAATGAGATATTTAACGTCACTTTCGTGCATATGCTATTGAATGTTACTTCTTCTTTTTTTTTTTTTTAAAGACTTGAAAGTTTAGTTGAAGTTTAATAAAAAATCAATTGTTCTTGTTGGGGACCCTTATCATTAAGTTTTATTAATTAGTTTTTTTACCTTGTTAGGGTACTTTTGCAACCATCAAATTATTTAATAGAATAGTTTTATCTTTTTTTCTCATTAAAGCAAGTGGGACTCACCTTTTTTTTCTTATATTAAAAAAAAAGAAAGGTTCTCTTCCTTTCTTCTTCATTATTGTTTTTTCTAAAAGAAATCCTTTTTTTTTTTGTTGAAGCAGCTCAATGTAGCTTCAATGTTGAAGCAGCTTTTAGATTAAAAGCCATTTCATCATATTGCTTATCCAAACAAAATTCCCTGGGGCTTCAATGTGCTTTTAGACTAATAAGTATTAGGGGGTGTTTGGCAACCTCCAAACCATAGTTTCAAAAGCATTTTTCTGTAAAACGAGACAAATTCCTTTACATATTTATTTCATAAATCGTAAAAGCACTTCTAAAACTATAGTTTAGTTTCTATCTAAACACCCTTAATCGTGGCTTTTTACTCGACGATGTGCCAACCACAGAGACCTTATGTTTAGGCTTCAAAAAGAAGAGTACAATATATATGGCAGTTGGGTCTCCCTCATTGGAATGACGGCTCAAGGCCAAGCAATCTTCTTCAGTCTATCTTCACTTCTTCCTTTTGTCTTCTTCTCTTTGTCCGTGAGGTGAAAAGCGAAGGGAGCTATGTGGATGAGTGTTGGATGGATGATCCAAGTCAAATCCTTGCTAAGAGAATAGTTATGGACAAATGAGAGGAAAGCAAATTGTGTATCTATAATAGATATGATGACTATTTGGTATGGCCATGGATTTGACCGGATCATATGAAATATAACTAAGTTGTTGGAATCCAAGGCAATGTTAAATACAAGGGAGATATAATAGAATTTAGGGAAATAATATACAGTTGAATCAAATTTGGGTTATCATCTTCACACATATTCCTAGTCCTAGCAAAGTTAGATTCTAATACCATCGTTAGAGTAAATAAATTTAATTCTATATATTAATTATGATAAAGCAATAGGAGTGATGGGAGTTTCAGAGAGCAACCGAGAGCTTTCTTGCATAGACGGAGGGAGGTTGACGATGAGGGAAATGATGATGATTTGGTACTCACATCAGCACTTGTTAACTTACACATAGGATGACTATTTCTGAGTTGAGCTATTAAGAGTTTTTTTTAAAAAAAATTGAGTTTTAAGTGAGTCGAAACTTTATGGATTGAGTCGCATGAAACTATACTTGAGAAATTGTATTATAAGTGAGTCAAAAGTTAAAGAATTAAAAGATTTTTTTGCCCATGAATTTAAAACTATGTATTTGTTATCATATTAAAACTCAACTCAAGTTGACTGACTAATATATATTTTATTTAAATACTACTCCTCCGGTCCTTAATATAAGACCCATTTAACTAATTTGATTAGATTAAGAAAGTTAGGTAAGTTAGTTAATTATAAGAAAAGTGACACATTTTTCCTAAAACACCATAATCATCTTTCTTAATACCACCTCTCCTTATTCTACTTAATTATGGTTGAGGGAGTATCCATAGGGGTAATTTAGAGAAAATTGATAAATATGAGAAAGGAGTCTTATATTTAGGACCAAAACCAACACTAAAATTGGGTCCTATATTAAGGACCGGAGGAGTATTATTTAAGATTATAGATTTTACATGCTTTTCTTTTTGCTAGGTAAAAAAATTCTTCTATTAGAGGCAATCTTGTTCGAAGTGCTATTAAACACAAAATATGAACACTGGTGAGAATTCAAACCTTAACAAAGTTTTATCTTTAATATCAGTTTCAGCATAATTTTTTTTAGTAACGTATTTTGCGTTTCTTCACTTCAATGAACTACACAATATCCTTTAGACCATTTCTTCCAAGTAACCACAGATGAGAAACATAAACTTCCTACTTTATAAAGGCAAAGCCACTTGCCATTTGTAGTTAGACTTGGTGATTAATTTAGTGGAAGAGATTAAGATGAGAAACATAAACTTCCTACTTTATAAAGGCAAAGCCACCTGCCATTTGTGGTTAGACTTGGTGGTTAAATTTAGCAGAAGAGATTAAATCTTCCCAAAGGAAAATCTCAGGTCAAGCCTGATAAATGGGGAAAAGAATACACAATAGAAAAGCTACCTCTTAGTTGAGCCTGACAGTACTTAAATCTAATTCTAAATCAGGAGGCTATACCAAATAAGCAAATACCAATTGTTACCAAAAGCTAAAATGAGGCAGGGTCCTTTTAAAAAGCTTGAAGCAACTTCAAAAATGCTGAATGAGAGCAAAAGAGAGACAATGGGTAAAAGGACAGACTCTATAAGTCCTTAAGCGCCATGATTTTTTTTTTAAAGCATTCATATACTTAAGCCAACCAACTCCCTCGGGTTAATAGAACTTAGGAGACAAGCAGGGTGGGCCAGACAATCAAACCTTAAAGATACATTAGCACTTTCACAGGATTTACACACAGATCAGCCTCCCATTAAGTTATTTTAGGCAACACTGAATGAATTTGCTGTGCTCTCCACAAATCTCCTAGCTCCCTTGAACCACCTCTTGTCTCCTGCTTGAGCCTTGCATATGTATAGCTTGCCGCCATTCACGGTGGCTGTGATCAGTTGGTGCTTGCCACCTTCGTCTCCATCGGCTGTCCTTGTCAGCACAGACACGAAGTAGTACTGTTTTCCATTAATCACTGGTGCTGAAGTCTCTAAGATGTTTGCTGTTGCCACAGCATCCGGATCAAAACCTCCCTGAGTAATTCAAGATCAAATTCAGTCAAAAACAAATCATGACAGCATATACCAAGGTTGTCTTATCATATCAGAGACAACATATGCAATTTCTTTTTTGAATTAAAGGGGCAAGCACTGATGATCTGAGATTATAAGCAGAATCGAACCCACTACCTCTCACTTATGGGGGAGCATTAATGCCACTAGGCCCATAAGGCCTTTAGCCAACAGATGACGTTCTAAATTTCATTGGTATATGTGTTTGTGCTAGTGTTTTTCTTAATAATCTTTGTGCTAGCTACATCTTAGGTTATAATCATAATTATGCTTCATTTTCGGCTCTCCCTATAAATCATAATCATTTAAAGATCACAGACAGCCAGGAACATATCATGAAGCATTGATCATTCAGAAACAAGGTTGTCTTCTCGTATCAGGCAACTTGACATGCCAAGGTTTGCCAGTATCTCTGTATGTGTCCTGTGTCAGCAACAGACCTTGACTACATATATCATTCAAAAAGGTGGGTTGCATTCTCCAACCAGACACAACATGACATTTCCAATTGTGTTGGCATCAGTGTCTGTATTTTAAGGTGGTTGTGCTAGAATATGTATGCATCTTAGGTTACAACCAAAATTATGCTTCACTTTCAGCTTTCTTTCAAGTTCCTTTGAGGAATGTAGACATTTGTAAGATAACAATGCTTGTGAAAATTGTTAACCAATTACCTCAGAATCAGTTTTGCCAAAGTAGGCCTGCTTTCCTAGCAAATAATCCACCTGAAAGGAAGGAAAATCAAACCTCAAATATTAGCCAGCAAATGGTGAATTATTCGATAGTTCAGATATAAACAAGTGCACACCTTCTTGTAGATTGAAAAACAAATACAAATTTGGAACTAGCGTACCTTAGAAAGGAACTCCTCGGGTGAACCGAAGTCAGTGATGGATTTCTTGTCAGTGTCAGTGATAGTGACAGTGACATAGCTGTTGGCATCAAAATTGTCCTCATACCTAAGAACCTGACCAGGGTACTCAACCTCTCTGCTTGGGTTCCATTTGGAAGGAATGTTCAGTTTAAATCCATCGCCATTGTATGGCAAGAAGTCTGTGTTTGTCTTTGGCTTTCCAAACACATTGGCTGCAACACCAAAGCAATCAAAATGGAATCAGCTTCTCTATTTTTCCAAACAGCCAAAATGTAACTGCACAAAGAAACCAGAACTAAATGGTACACTCACAGGTGCTACAAACAGAGTAAACACAACAGAGTTTCAATTCAATTCAAAGCAACGCTTTCGCAAAATTGGGGCTCTTCTAATGAATTTATGGCACAAAGGATAATATTAGTATCCCTTCATGAATAAACCAAAAGATCATCTTCCTCATAGGCTGAAGCCAGTTCAACAACCATGTCTTTTTTACATATTAATTCTTCTTTCCATTGTATGATCTTTCAAAGAGTAAGAACACACAAGAATCAGAAGTAAATTTTACATCAATATCTGCAGTTACCAAGGCACAATTAGCCCAAAAGCTTATAATTCTAACTGAAGGCTGATTTATGCAATATTCACCCGAAATACTTAGGATCAGACTCCAGACCATGGGATCAGAATTCTAACAACATATTAAAAACTACTCAAAAAGCTTAAGCTGCTAAAACCAGCAAGTAAATTAAAGATAATGAACGATGATATGAGCTAATAGAATCAATAAGGTACATGATATCTTCAGAAGCTGATCACATCCACAAAAGAAACAATCATATTAGCATAATACCAGCTTCCCCATAGGCTGCATCTGCAGGAGAGACCTTGCTGGCAACAGCGGCAGCACCAATTAGCACAGTGAGAGCTAATCGGCGAGACAGGAGTCCACCATCGTCTTCTTGAACGGCCTGCTTCTGGTGGGCTCGGCAGACAAGCTGGGTCGGCTTGGCGGCGACCTGGGGTCGCTGGACGGAGGAGGATCTGGCGGCAGAAGGAGAAGCGAGGGCGTGGTGATGAAGGAAGCAGTGAGTGGATGCCATATTTTCTGCTGGAAGTGTGTGGCTCTCTGCAAAATGTGTGAATCTGAAAGTGTGATTTTTGAATGTGGTGTGGGTGTGTGAATGACGTGCCAATGGAGGTTGTGGATACGGTGAGGTGGATTGGGTTTTGTGAAGACGACGACGAGGATGATCGATGATTGGGAGGTTCTGGGTTTTGGATCAGATTTTTGGGATGCAGGGGATAAGGAAGTAGTGGTTCTCAGTGCTGCCACGTGGCAAACCTGTTCTCAATTGTTCTGCATGGCACGGTGACAATTTACTACGTAAAAGTCATGGGCAACGTGGTGTTCGCATGATTAATTTTCGTTTCCCTATGGCTAGTATGGTGGTAATGATCAATCTATAAAATCCAGGAAATGAGCTCACTATTAGACCTCATAAACATGGCATTTTGTTAAATTTTTTATATTATACATAAAAATATCAATTCGCCATTTGTTTATGTTTTGCCAGCAAATTAGCCATTTATTTAAATGAGAAATAAAGGAGAGTTTTCATATTTTTTTCACTTCTCAATCCAAAATTTTAAGTACTATTTATTGACAGCCTAAGTTAGTTTGCATACATATGTTTGTCTACATTTAATTTGTTTTTAAATTGTTTTTTTTTTGCGTAAGTTTTATTTTACACTGTTGTTTAAAAGGTTATTGTTGGGAGTGCTTTGAATTTGAGAAAGTAGTACTCATCCGGTCCTAAATATAAGACCTTTATATAAAGGTCTTATATTTACAACCGGAGGAGTAATATTTAATTTTGTAATGAAAAGGCCTTAAAGTAAAATTTGGTCATGCGGTCGACCGCTGAGCTAGAAGTATTAGTGCTAGAAACTAGCTAGTTTCTCATAATATCAACCTCCCCTTCAACACTAGCATAAGATGATTGATATATACTCCTCCATTTTTAATGTATGATCTAATTGGAGAGTTGATATTGATGTTTTATAAGACTTATTTTACATATTTATCATTTTTTATCAAATTAACCTTATTGATATATCCTTAACGATAATCAAGTATGAGGAGGAAGGAAATTAAGAAATATACTTAAGATGTTTTAGAAAATAACTTATCATATTAACTAATTTAACTAACATTCTTAGTTTACTCAAATTAATTAATTAATAATTAATTAATTAAGTCTTACGTTAAGGATTAGAAGAGTGGAATACAAAATTAGTTCTTTATAGTATGAAAGAATTTAGTTAAGTAGTAAGCAATTAAGAGATATTACCTCCGGTCCTTAATATAAGAGTTGTTTTGATTTTTAATTTAATCCTAAATATAAGATCCAAATCTATTTTGTCTCCAATATTTATCCATTTTCCTTCAAGTAATTTCTATAATAGTTAAATATGTTAAAAAGTTAGCATTGATAGGTAATTCAAACATACATGATTAATAAAGGTATTTTAGGAAAGTCAACATCTATTTACTAAAATAACTAACTTTCTTAATTTTTTCAAATTAGTTAACTAGATCTTACATTAAGGACTAAAGATAGTGGTCCCTGGGTATGTCTTAGAACAATCTTTTCAATCCTAGTGAATTAAAAGTCTATAGCATCCTTGAAATTAAGGATGATAAAACACTAAACATAGTACTTGTCAAAACAATTAGTATACCAGACAATATTGCCATAACCCCTAGACGGTACCAACACAATTGGAGTCCATAAATTTTTTTGTTTTTCGGGGCCAGAACGGAGTCCGTGAATGATTCCCGTCAATTCAGCAATAACCGGAAGAACTGAAGTGATGAGCTTGCAGTTAAAGCCACATATAGCCACCGGCCGGTCTTCGCTATATGTCCCTCATCATTTAATTTCCTAATCACATTCACTCATGTAGTCTTGTAAAACTGAACCATCCACCTTAATTTACAAAACCGACCTTATTAGATCCAGCTTGCATGCATTATCTACTCTTATCTAAGTGTTAAGAGTAGAAATGACAATTTTCCATCATGTCCTTATCCCATCAAGCACGAAGGAGGCTATCAAGAGCGTTTTAACAGCTTATAAGTAGTTTATAAATAGCTTTTCAATAATGATTTACGAAATATAAGGCAAATATGTAAGATGAGGTTTGTCTCAACTTACGTAAAACGTACTTATAAGAAATGTTTTAAGTCCTCCCAAACAGGCCTAATATTCCTCCACTACCTCTTTAGAATTGAACAGCCTATCACATTGGGATACCCAGCTAGCAAATATTCCAATAAATGTAGCCAAAGAGAATAGGCTTCTGGATAATCTCTTATCTTAACGTATCCTAATTGAATTTTGCCAAATTTAATTAAATAATCTTTTGGCACGTCGTCATGAACATCACTTTCAACGCAAGAGTAATGTATGAACATTTTGATATTGAAAAAAATTAGAAGAAATATTGTAATTTCATCGTAGCTAGCTTTCAATTTCTGCCTTCCAACTATTGTATCCTTTCTATCCTCCCGTCAACGTAACTTGCCTTTAACAAGTCCATCAAGCCACTAGCAGGTTGTTACCATACAGCTGCTTAATTATTTAACTATATAAAAAACTATACAGAAAATAATATTTTTTAAAGCCACATATATTATATTATGATTACATAATTGAATTTATTTTTTTTAATATGGAAAATAAGTCGTACTATTTATAATTTATGTGATGTATATTTAAATATAAAATATAAAAAATTATCATTATTATATACGATTTTTTTATTTTAGTTTATTTCAAACTACCATTCTTTTTCTATATTTAACTATAAAATATAAAAAATTATCATTATTATATACCATTTTTTTTTTTAGTTTATTTCAAACTACCATTCCTTTTTTTTTTTTTCCCTTGTTTGGCCTGAACTACCATTCTTTTTCTCAACATATATAATAGTATTTGATCAAATTGCAGCCAACGTTGTCGTGTCTCATTTGGCAGGCCTCCCGAGTGTCAACGTTTTATTTCATAGTCCGTTTAAAAACTTTGAATATTCGATTTTATTGAAGGAAAATTGAACTATTTTCTTTTAAACTAACTATTGTTTGTATTATAAAAAAATATAACAACCTACAAATTAAAAAAGAAAACGAATTCTTCAGCATTAGGTGTTACTGTGTTAGTCTCTTTCTGTTTGGATTAGTTAGAAACAACACTCTTCTATTGCACCAAGTAAATACATAGAAAAAAAACTATCTCATAATGTCTAAAAATATTAGGGAGAATTGCTATAAAATTTTAAAAAATTATTCCTCCGGTTCTTTATAGAAGACCCATTTAACTAATTTGATTAGATTAAGAAAGTTAGATAAGTTAATTAATTATAAGAAAAGTGATACATTTTTCCTAAAATACCACAATCATCTTTCTTAATACTCCCTCTCCTTCTTCTATTTGATTATAGTTGAAGGAGTATTTATAGGGGTAATTTAAAGAAAATTGATAAATATGAGAAATGAGTCTTATATTTAGGATTAAAACATTGAGTCATATATTAAGGACCGGAGTAGCATATAACAACAGACTAGCATAGCATTTAATTACAAGTCTCATTTATTATTGGGACTTTGTAGCAGCTATTTTGTTTTTTTTTTAAAAAAAAAAGTGGACTGTAGTTCTCTCAAACTATGAGTATTTCGCAGGCAATCAATTCACCAGTTTTCATTCCCAAAAAAAATAAAAATTCACAAGTGTTTTTTTAAAAAAAAAAAAGAAAGAAAAGAAAAGCACCATTTTTTCACATAATTATTATTAAAAGAAAAAAGGGTGAAAATCATTCGCCTCGGCCCCCGAGAAAGGGTCAATTTTGGTCGTTCCGTACTCGGAGGTTATAACACCGTCAATGTACTGAAGGCCGCTTTTCCGATGACACCAAAAAAAAAAAAAAAAAAAAGCTGATGAAAAGAGGATTGGACGATCACGTGGGTTTTGAGGACCTCCGCGTTAGGTGAAGTGCCTAATCAATTATTCAATGGTCTAGCGCCATGCAATTCCCACACTGAAAGGATTTCCTTTGCAAAAATTAATACTCTCCTCTTTCTGCTACAGAAGAAGCCCATTACTCTCTTTTTCTTTACCTGCCTCTACGTTTTGCTTCACTCTCCTCCGAACCCCTCTGCTCCTCTGATACTGGTTTGCGCTTTTAAGTTGTTTCTGTTTCTCTTGTTTCTGATGAATTTGCTATTTCTGTTGCCCTTGTCTGATTGATGATCATTGTTCAATATCTCCTTGGTCGACGAGATGAGTTTGTTTGTGGTATTTTCGTACATTGGGTGATTTTCACTTTGTGGGTTGTTTGAGGTTGAGGAATTGTGGTGCTTATTGAGGAGTTTGAATTTCTTGAAATTTTCTTTTGATTTATAATTTTGTTTTACTTTCTGGGTCGAACCATTGAGGTTTAAAAAGAAAAAGAAAATCTTTAGTTTTTTTACTTTTTCTTTTCGCTTTTCTAGTCATAAATCTATAAGAGAAAGTCATGCGAGTGACCTTGGGTTTTCAACTTCGCTTTCTGGACAGGTATCAAAGATTATTCTTTCCTTTGCACTTTCTGGTGTTGTGTGAACCAGTTACGTTATACCAATTCGTTTTTCCATTTTTGAAAGTTTCCTTTTTCCTCTCTCCACTCTCCCCAAACAAAAAGTGATAGGTCTTACTATGCTGACTCGCATAAAAAGATCATGATGTGATGGCAAACGATGATCCATTTGTTAATTGAAGTGCTGCAAGGTGTCTTATATGAGTATGCAAATCAGACACAGCTTAAATTCTGAATAGTCTGTGCTTCATACGTTTTCATTAGGATAAATTTCAGGAGTTCTTTTCCTGGCACTTTGAAGATGGCATCTGAAAGTAGCATGTTATCTTAACCAATTGATTGAAGACAGGTAGATGAAAAGGTTTAACTTTATATGGGTGTCAAGATTCCTGGTATGAACAAGCTCCTGTAGGCTGTGTTTTGGAGGCGGCTACTTTATCTTAGTTGATGATTTGTTTGGTGCTAGGCTGCTAGCTACTTTCCCTGTTTTGCTCTTTAAAAGACGAAGTTGTTAAGCTTTCCTAGTATTTTATGCTATTGACGAGTATGAATGGTTCCCTGTTCTCTAGCGTATGGATGCAACATGGGCGGGCATTAGAGCTGCTACTCAGTCATTAATGGTTTCCTAGTATTTGATGCTATTGACTAAGGTGGATAGGCTTTACAGTTCGTATGTGTTCTGTAAATGTTATTCTTTGCTCAAAGGAGATCTGTCTCATTTATTCATGGAAGGCAGTGATTCTCTTAGTTAGCTTAGCACATAGAAGCCTGAATACTGTGTTAAGATGGATTATTGAAAGGAAGTAATTTAGTAGTCCCGCGATTTATCTAATTTTAGAAAGTGATGTTTGTTTATGAGATGCTTATGTGGGCTTATAAGCTTGGTTGTTCTACATTCCTGCTAAGCTGACTTTTTGGCGTGGATCACTGTTGATACCACTAGTACCTTGGAGGGTATCCTATCATAGACATAGAGGACCAGTAAGAAGGTACAGCGTCTAAACTTATCCACACATCAAGGGATTATACAATGAGGGACTCAATAAATTGTAACAACCTGGTACAATTCTAAGCTTCCTCCAGCTACATGCAAGCCCGATACACTATTGAGGCCATGAATTTTAATTATGAACGGTTTTTCTTCTATTTTAGCACTTAAGTAATCGCCACCTTGTTTTCAGTTTTCACTTTGCTATGGCGTTCAATTCTGAAGCTTCATATTCTAACAGCCCATTTCTCCTTTCCAATGTAAAGTAGAGATTGCAAATCTTCCTACAATAGCTACTTTACTGAAGGCTTAATGTCAAAATTTAATATGGGGAAATTTTTGGCTTTGGAGGACTTCTTGTCCCTATATGTTTGTATTGATCTTTCTCTTCTCTTTAATGAGTTATTATTTTTTATACAATTATCCTTAAAAAAAGAATTAAAGGTATGGCTATAAGAGTGATGAAGCTTTAATTGTTTTAATTATATAGTTTGCTCCTGGAGATACTGCAAATTAAGGACTGAAGGCAGAAATTATGGCAATGATTTTAATAGTCAATAAAGAGACTGAATGCCTCTAATGTGGTAAATTTGATGATTTCCCCCATCGACTTGATTAAGAGTTAGAAATGAAACTTCTGAACTGCCAGAGCTTTTTCTTCCTTGACTTACAAGAATGCTGAATGGTTGACTTTTGTTAGAGTACACTTTTTACTAAACAACATATGCAATCAACTATGATCTACTATTTATACATCGGGATATAACAAAGCTTCTTGCATTCGCTTTATTTGTATATTGGATTTTCTGTTAAACATGATTGATGATGCACTGATGTCATGCTATTTTCTTCATTTGGTAATATCCTTACTTTTTTTAGGAAAGGGAAGGAACAATGTCTGATAAAATCGCTGCTGCCGAGAACCTTCTTAACAACCTTGTGGATACAATTACTGAGAAGAAATCTGGTTCATTCTTTGAGGAAGGGGACCCAAGTTCAGCGAGCTCTCAGTTCAAAAGACTGTTTGGACGCGAGAGGCCAGTGCACAAGATACTGGGGGGCGGAAAATGTATGATAGTTTAAGTCTTTGTCATGTAAAACTACCATATTGGCCTCTAAATTTGTTTCCCTTTTGAACGCTGTAGCTGCTGATGTCCTGTTATGGAGGAACAAGAAGATCTCTGCAAGTGTTTTAGCTAGTGCTACACTTTTGTGGTTGCTTTTTGAATGGCTCAACTATAATTTCCTGACACTTGTATCCTTTGCTCTGATTTTTGTCATGCTTGGACAGTTTCTCTGGTCCAATGCTTCTGGCTTGGTTCGCAGGTACTTTGGAGCATATTTACATCTCTGTTTTTGCTGCTTGAATTTGCTTTAGATGTGCTAAAGAACTGCACAATTTCTCAGCTTTTTAAGTAAGTGGCCTTTGTCCTTTTGTCTTGACAGGGAACCATCTGAAGTTCCTCGTCTTGTCATCCCAGAGGATTTGTTTGTCAGAATTGCAACTAGAGTTGGTGTAGAGCTTAACCGAGATTTGAGGTTTCTTCAAGATGTTGCTTGTGGAGGAAACCTGAAACAATTTCTTATTGTATGTTTGCCTTCATACTTATTTATGCTTTTTCTTCTTGTATCATCCATATGTGTGCTCAAAACATTATTTCCGGGTTAAAGCATTATTTGACTTCAGAAACATGTTTTTGGCCCAGTTCTTGTTTTTGAATCACTTTGTTTATATCTTGCCACAATATTAATGGTTGTCACAGTAAACACTTAGGGTCAATGACGTAGTGGTTTGATATCAACGTGGCAATGAGAATGTCACTTTGTTGTAGTTGTAGCTAGAGATGTTGACATCCATACAAATAAGAAATAGATTTTGTGCAGGGTGGAGGCCAAAAGAAGGTTTGTGGCCTGTAGGAGGGGTAAGGATCATTAGTTCCATGTATATATGAACAATTGAATTAACTGGACTTAAAAGTGTTCTGAATGAATGACCATAGGGATGCAGTTTCTATGGTGCTGTCGATTATAACTTGCTTTTGACTATTAGTATATCTTTAATAATGACCCCTTCTTTACATGAAATTAACAATGCCTATTTTCTAGTGGAATTTGTTATTAAACAGTTGCAACATTTCCAGGCTATAGCAAGCTTGTGGGCTGTAGCTATCATTGGGAGCTGGTTCAATGTTATATCTGTCATATATATTGGTCAGTGATCTGCTTTCTTTGCATCAATTGATACATTTCAAACTTCTTACTTTGGATTATGTTATATGCTTAAATATGTTTTTCTCTGAATTTCGGACTAGGTTTGCTAACAACAATTCTTGTCTGCTTAACAAAAATTGAATAATCGAAAGTATGGAAATTGGATTATACTCCTTTTTCTTGGATGGTGAAGTCAACCTTAAGCCTGCATAGTGAAGTTAGAGAATGAAAACAGCATACTAATAATAATTGCATATTGTGAGATATTTGCTAATTTCTTAATGCTAATATGCTAACTTATGGAAGTAGCTCATCTGAACATTTTAGGGATTATAATAAAATTATTTATAGGTCTCCCTTTTCTAACTGAGGTGGTTAGGCGTCCAATCCTTACTGCTACCCATTCGCTTGTGCGTATTATGTTTATTATGTAAATATCATCTAATAATATTTTTTCTAATTTTTTAAAAGAAGGATGGGAGAATCAATCTCAATATTCAATATTCAATATTCAATGTAAACTAAAGTCCATAACGGGCTGTACTGTTCATAATATGTGAATAGTGCAATTCATTCCTCTCACTTGCTACTTTTTCATTTAATTGTGCGTTATATTCTTTGTTGATTCATTATGAAAGGGGCCACAACTTCAAAAGTGATGCTTCCCTACTAGATGATTGTTCATTGTCATGCCTGATCTCTGAAACTTGTGTTATTTCACAAGGTTTTGTTGCTGCACACACACTCCCAGTTCTGTATGAGAAGTATGAGGATCAAATTGACAGCTTCGTGGGCCAACTGATTGATCAGATGCAGCATAACTATAAGAAGCTTGATGCTGGAGTTCTCAGCAAAATCCCCAAGGGAAGCTTCAGGGGCAAAAAGCTTGAATAGATCCATGGATTTGTAAAAAGGTTTATCTATTTAATAATTAATACTTAATCCCTTACTCATTAATAAAATGGCCGTATTGGATGCCTGGTAGAAGTTACTAGGTGGGGAAGAATAGGACTTGTCTGTAAGTATTGTTTTGACTTGATATCATTGTCTTTTCCTGAGGAATATATAATCAAATTAATATAAAATATTCATCACGAAAATGAATTAAAGAAAAATAAACATATGGGCTAATAATTTAAGGATCTGTAGGGGAAAAGGTAAATAGTCCTTAAAAGTAGGTGTCAAAATATATAAATACTGACTAGTTTAAATGGGGAAAGTATTCATATCCATTGCTGACCTTAACTTTTTATTTTGTTTCGAAATTTTTGTTGTTTTAGAAATTCAAGGCTTAATCAACCTCTCTTTACTTTATTTATTGTATTTTTTTTTTTTATCTTTTAGCGGCACCTTCATTTAACTATTAGAAGTAACAAATTTCTTTTCACCTATTAATCTTCTTTCACTCCCTCTTAAATTGCGTGATTAAATGAGGGCATCAATGTATAGTAATATGTTACATTAATGAAAGGTTTCTTAGTCTATGTATCATAACCCTAAAAAATAGATACGGACAATGAACAGATAATGGAGTACTTTTTTTTCTTTTTAACATATTCATAAGGTTTCGAACAGTTTTAGATTATTCATGATGTGCACATCAAATCACCCTCATCAACTAGTGAGGCCACATTATACATTTATGGTTAAACTCAGAATTTCTAGCTAATCACTTAAAATATTGCGTTATAGCAAAAGAAATGAAAGTGAGCTGAGTGTCCTGTTCTAATCAACATTATCAAAATGTCAGCAAATACAACAGAAAAGAACAAATGTATGCTGATCAAAAAAGAAAAGAACAAATGTATGCACTTGTCAAGGCTCCTCTAATAATGATTTACTCGTACAATGAAAAAGCTATATTGAAATATTAATGATCAAACAAAATAATAAGGCCGGCTCAAAATCAGAAGCTTAATTCCCAATTTGGTGGGCACAGGAAAAGCTTAACTCTACGTTAGACCTCATAGCATGCTAAGCAATTTCCTAATTTGGAGTAAACTACCAAATAAACCATGGTTTTTGGTTTTGGTAGAAGCATGGAGCTATAACCAATACTAGAGGTATTCAATTTGTCCCTTATGAGTTTGGAACGGGACGAGATAAAAAAATTTTCAAGACGGGACAATTACAAGACCGAACAAGACAGTAATCAAATAGGACAAGACGGGACGTGAGAGGGGTTGTCCCCTCCTATCCCGGAGCATTTTTTTTAAAAAAATTATTTATTAATTATTATTATTAGATTATTCAATTCACTAAATAATTATTATTTTTATTATTTTTATAGTGATTTTCAGCTCTTAAGTTGTAATATTACCTCAACAAAATCTCTTTCCTCAATAAAATAATTCATAAAGGGATTACTACTATATAATTGAGCTTTTAACATAATAGTTTTTAATAATGTTTTTATCTTTACAAGCCTAATAAAAAATAAATATTATAACATGAAAAAAAATTATAATATTTTCTTTTTTAAAAAAAAGGAAATAGGAGGGGATACGGGATGAAAATCTCCCAAGATGGGCCTGCCCCGTCCCGTGAAAAGCCCTAGCCAATACCAGCTCAAGTGGATGGAGGATGGTGAACTAGGTAAAGATCACTTGTTGGAACTTGGAAATCTCCCAAGAATAAGGCTCTCTCTCTCTCTCTCTCTCCCCCCCCCCTCCCCTACACGCTCACACACACACAAATATCTGCAAATACCTTAAATTCACAACCGCCATCCTGTACTGTTTTATCATCTCTAGAAACACTTGTTCAAATAATTTAAAATGGCAAATAATAAACCACAGAAAAGATTAAACTCAAAGCGAGCAGGTTGATAATGAAGAAATTCCTTTGAAACAGAATGCAGTCAGCATCTTCTTCAAAGAAATGAATAAACGAATTAGCACTCCAAATGACAGCAAGAACAGAGATACCAGCAAGATGTATTACAAGACTACATGTTTAACTAGAAGGCTTAAGCTTCAATTATGACGCACATAAAATTGATTGATAACCTTCACATGTGAATCCTACAAACTAGAAGTTAACAAAAAAATAACTGCAAGTCTAAAAATCACAATCATACCCTCCAAGAAACTACATATCACTGAACTTTGGATAAACGTCCTGAAGGACCTTTATAGATGTTCAATAGCTGAGGAACACTTTCGTGAAATCTGGTCACAAATTTCTCTACAAACTTTTTCTCAGTATAACTGACAATAGAAATGAAGGAGATATTCTTCTTTACCAAACCTTTCATTTTCAAAACTTTAATTACTGAGTATCGAGGAATAATCCTCTGCTCCAAACTATAATGAAGTAACTTTGGGCGTGCAGCTATACCTTCCAACGGGATACCCACTTCATCCACAAGAAATGACATTGACTTTGTGATATTCTTCTCAGACAGCATCAAGCATTGTGGATGTTTGCTGAAGACTGAGAGAGTGACATCTCTGGTCCAACCATACCTCTTGAAGATATCCAGTTTCGACTGCCAAGTAGATTTCTTTAAGCGTCCTAGAACGGCAACAGCATTAATGAACAAAGACTTGGAAGGATCAACTCCTGCTTCCTTAGCAAACTGGACATATTCAACAAAATTTGCATGATTCAGAAATGCTGAATCTATGTATTTAGTTGCCAGTAGAGAGATAGACGATCGGGGCACTCCAATATCTCTCAAAACCATAATATTTTGAGCTAAATTTGTCACGCCCTGGCGGGAACGCAACCACTTAAAGCGTTTTAAAGCTATTTTTGCTTCCTCATCATTGTCGAGAAAACTCCTAAGGGCCTCAAAACAAGGGATTATACATTGTTCTAAGCTCATACCGAGGAGACAATAGTTTGAAATGAGGACATCTTGGAGTTCAGAACTCGAAAGCCCAATTGACTGGAGAAACCTTAGCTTAGGCAAAAGGGTCTTCTCAGGGTTAGCCGAAAGCACTCGTGGATGCATTTTCACAACTATAGATATCTGGGTATCTGAGAATCCATAGCTCCTAAAAAGATTAAGCACCGAATTGGGTTTATCAGGGTTTTTCAATTGAACCTTTTTGGATACTTCAGTAGCTACTTTGCGGGACAAGCCCAGCGAACTCATGAGGTACGAAACAGTAAACGATTCATTCACTCCTAGTTTCCATTTTCCCTGATCTGATTCAGACAATGTCGAAGCTGAAGGAAAGGAATTGAAAATGTGAGAAGCATTATGATGGAGGAGACCAAGTTGGATCCTATTCTTCCAAGGCAGTGATGAAGATAATCTTGCAATGAGAAAAGTAAGCATTGATGAACTATTATGAATGGCTCTAAAAGAAACTCACCCAATTTGTAGTTCAATCGCTCGAACTCTGCTGTCGCCTCGTGAAGCTCGCTGAGGGAACTTCCCTGCTCGAAGAAGCAAAACAGAAAGCAAGTACAGGCACAATCGAAAAACGACGACGTTTCATGGTTGTGCGCTGTCTATCCATGCCAATTTATGGTGGATTTTTTACCAGAGACATTAATTTACTGGTTAAAAAAATGAAAAATACTCTTTTCATTCTTAATATAAGACATAATTAACTAATTTAAATAGATTAAATATATTATTTAAATTATTTAATATAATATATCTTTTTAAAACACCCTAATCATATTTTTTTATTCCCTTCCTCTTTCTCTTACTTAATTATTGTTGAGAGAATAATAATAGGGTTAATTTGAAAAAAATTGATAAACATGTAAAATAAGTTTTAAATATATGACCAACATCAACTCTTAAATTAGGTCATAGTAGTACTATCTCCAGTCCTTAATATAAAACCTTGTTTGACTTTTATTTTGGTTTTAAATATAAGATCCTGATCCATTTTGCCTCTCATATTTATATTTTTTTCCCAAAGTAACCTTTCTAACAATGATAGTTCTAGTTAATACATTTGATTAGCAAGGACATTTTAGGAAAGACAAGACCTATTTAGGACAACTAACTAACTCAACTTACCTCCTTAATCTCCTCAAATTAGTCAATTGGCTCTTATAATTAGGACCAGAGGTAGTATATTAAGAATCAGACTAATATAAAATTTATGAGAAGTGTGCTGAAATTTTTCATAATATCCGAGGCTATAGGCTTTCCCCATTTCCAAGGTAACGCTTAAAGAAGGGTGTTTGGTATTGGTATAAAATGTGCGTCAAATTACATTATTTATAATTTAGTATCAAGAGTTTAGGATTGATGTTAGTTAAACTTTATTATAAGGCGATATGATGTTGAAACTTTGAGAGAGAAACTGAGTTAATAAAAAATTAATAATACTAATTGCACCTCACAAAAAACTCTGATTAACATATTAAAAAGATTATAGGATATATGAGCTTTAGAAGTAGGCCAACATTTCTACTCGCAAATAGGGGGTTTTAAGTCTATGACCATGCCCAAGGATTTATTGTTCTTGGGTTGTAATTGTTATTACTCCCGATATTAATTATAAGATCTTATTTATAGACTATAAATAAGATTTTATAATTAGAACTGAAAGTAATATTCTATTACTTTTAGCCATTATAATTGTTTGAAATCCACAAATCATTCCTATTAATAATTGTTAGAATTTCTCTGAATATGTCACTGAATTCATTCAAGACGTGTGAGCAAAACTCAGATTAGGGAAGAATATGGTTTATGGGTTCTCTTTATTATTGGAGCTAGGTGAAATTTATCCTTTAATGCCTTATGATTTATTGATATAATTAAAATCTCAATAACCAGAATAAATTACAATAATCTTTGCAATAACATTAAAGATGCGTAATATGAAATGTTATATCCGGATTTAATTTGCCGGATTTCTTGCCTCTGACGGCATGGAGGCCATTGGTTTAATGACTAGCAACAAGAGGGTGTGATGTTAATAATCCTCACAGCAATATTGTCAATGACACTAGGGAGTGGCAAGTCCAGATCAACCACGTCTTTAATTAGGAAAGATTTGACGTTAGCTTGTCATTTGCTATGATTTACCACAATATGGAGGACATTTTTTGCATCTTTCATCATCCTTTTTCTTTTTACCTTGGTCTATTAAATATGCATTTCAAATTATATACTCCTTTGATCCTAAATATATGACACATTTTATACCATAAAATGAGTCTCATATTTAGGGGTGGAGGAGCATCAAACAACTACCTACGTCATATGCACCAAAGAAACATCACTAATCATACCCTGACACAAAAACATTATAACACTAGGCATATATCAAGAGCTCATTCCAATTACTTAGTTTCCCAAATAACACACAACCCATGAACAATGTAAGACCATATCGAGCCATTAATATTCAAAGTTCAAAAATATGCATTTAAACAACAGGAAACTCATCATATACTTCTACTTCATCTAGAAAGTTTGGTGCAAAATAGTCTAGGGCTTGCTAAATATAAAGGTCCACAACACTTATCCCCTTCCAGATATAAACACTAATTATCACTCTCAAAAACAAGATTTTTCCATTCAACATGGAAATTTCGGTCACCTAATTAAGCTCAAAGCAAGTCTCAAAGTCGCATTCAACTGCACAATTGAACAATGAAAAATGAGAGGAGAGTGGGAAAAGAGATTTCAGTGAGACGACTTATCTTCAAGATTCTGGCAGAACTGTTTTCCTGGTGAAATCCGAAAATCCAAAACCAGTCCCCCCCCCCCCCCCCCAAAAAAAAGCGATTTAAGACCTTCACTACTGTGACTAAAGTGTCCTTTGCAGTAGCGAATTGAAGGACTGTCCTAGAGTTTGAAAAATTCAGTTAATCAATTTTGCCCTAAACTCCATATATAGCAGTATTTCACTATTTCCCAAAAAAAAATACTCTCGGGTTAAACCTTAATTAAAAGGAAAAATTAAAAACGTTATAGGCATTTAATAACTTAAGAATAGTGTGGTCATTGCCAATTAAAAAATTCATAAGTGTTTTCATTTAGCTAAAAGAATTAAATAATGAAGTTGAAACTGGAACTGTACAAATGAATATTATAATAAAAATAAAACCCATCTTGTAGCCTCTCAATCCCGACTCGAAAAGCCACATAGAGAAACAAAAACCACAAATTAGGCCAAAATTAAACCTACGCAACGCAAACAGACGATCTTTTGATTTGCCCTAATAATAATAATCTGACCTTTTTGCTGATTCAATACCTTGACGTATGTGTGTGCGTGTGTGTGTATATAAATGGCCACAACAATAATGATAATAACAATCCAGGTCATTGGAATAATGCTTGTGACAGCAATGTGGAAGAAGGATGTTAAGCACACGTTCAGTGTGGGAAGGCAGCATCAGACATGAGCCTTGCTCGAGTTTGGGTCCTGAATTGCCAATCTGGACATACGAATGGACGAGACGATCCCAAGTCATCGATTCACTGCTTTATGGCTTATTGCGATAAAGTGGTGTGAGGATCTGTCTTGGAAACAAAGGGAAAAAGTAGTACCGCATTGTAATATGAAAGAGACCTATGAGAAAAAGTGGGTTTTAGGGTATAGTTTGGCTCTCGAAAGAAGAGAATGAGGAGACAAGAGTTTAAAGAGAAAACGAAAGAGATATGTTTGGAAATTTTTAGTGAGAAACTACATGCCTTTTGATTTTCAACTAGTTTCTTAATTACAAGTTCTTTTATAAAAAATTTTCAATAGCCTAATTTGCGATGAAAAATAGAAACAAGTGTTGTGACGGATTTTGTTCGTGATGGGATTTTTTTGGTTGTAACTTTTGTTTCATTTTTTTTGTTTTTTTTATTTGTTGTGGTGCCTACATACCCTATCTTATCACCCAGCTCATCAAGTGGAAGGAAAAGTGGTATTCGAGTCAATGTTAGTGGATTTCTTGGTGTAGTTGTCATTATAATCCTCATCATTTGATGTCTTTCAAAGAAAAACGTTTCTCCAAAAATATCTTAATTTGATTGTTTGTCTTCATTTTTTTTTTTGCTTAAAGATTTTCTTGTAACTAGGTATACCAAATTATAGAAGTAATGAATGATGTAGCTAATAAAGTAGTAGTTAATTTATTCGTTGAATCTCCAATTAAGAGGAAAAGAAAATAATGTTTTCTACTTAGGGGTGTTGGATTAGGATATTGAATGTAACTAAAAAATAACATCATATGGTGTTGGATGTACTTAGAAAAATTAAGGTATTGATCCTACAGGAAAATAATATCAAGAATGATGGATGCTAAGTTCCATTCACGTCATTTGTTTTCTTAAACTCCATGCAAGCTATAAAAAGGAAAATAAAAAAGAAACTATATCAACTAATTCCAACTAGATGGGCTCCATACATGTAAAATGAATTTTGAGAAATGAGCTATATAAATATATATATATTTTATATTTATGATTTATAGTAAATAGTTTCCTTACTATAGATTTTATAAGTTAGATGCATCCGTGATTCTGTATTAGTTATTTTCAGTTCCTTATTAAAACTACCAACCAAACAAATTAAAATTCCGGTCGCCACCATTATTATCTTGGTCAAATCTACCCTTAAATTGAAGCATCTCCTTAAAAAAAGTCTAGAGCACATATTTATATGATTATATGTTTGTCCCTTGAAAGCGACTCCAATATCTTCTGGATTATAAATAGCAGATATGGAGAGACTCCATGACTTCACCAGACAAACAAAAAAGTCTCGCAAGAGAGAGGCAGCTTCAGAGCGCGCTACATAGTTTCTGTATATTCTACCTCGGATCTCGTATCTTTGTCTGATAAATTAATACTGCTGCATCATATATTACAAGAATGGCGGTCTTAGGTTGCATGGAAGAAACTGTTCTTCTCAATTTCTGGGGAGGCAGAGGCAATATCTGGGCAACTTCTCCGGCGGATGATAAGTTTCTCAGCTTTACGGTGGTGGAGAGCGAAGGCGACGACGATGACGATGGTGATAGTGGGATTGATGTAGCCCCAGCAGCTTAAGCACTATAAGAGTATATTAAAAGCTGGTATTATGTAGAGAAGGGATTAATTAAGAGTCATATATTTGTACTAATTCGTGCTAGTTTCTAGAGTTTTCCCATCACTAGCTTCTTATTGTTTCTACTGACGTTTATGCTGTGATAAATAAATGAGATTTTAGTTTAGTTATCTGCTTAAACTCTGCACATGCTATTTGGTTGTGTGTTTAGTTGTAAACGGTTGTTTCTTCTCCCTCCTCTCTTTTTAACTCTGTATAGCTTCAAAAAGATGTTTCAGGTGGAAGAAGATGCATTGGTCTTGCATTATTTGATCAAAATAACTGGTTTTCTATGATTAATTAATTATACAAGTTACCCATTTATAACAATTAATGTAAAGTATACATATTTTACTCTTATCGGTAAAATTGGCTTCAGTTTCAAGTCGCTTCACGTTCAAGATCCTTTGAAGGTTTTGAACACAAATTGTATACATAATTTATATAAATGCAAGGTAATAACACTTTATATTTAAATCTCCTGCTGCTTCTGACAAGAAGTAGTACTTCTAGCATTTCTCAATGGCGGACTCTCATGAATTTATATATATATATATATATATATATTGAGGTCTGTTTTAATTTCTCTGATTGTGTGGAAGCCATCAATTGACTTATTACTAGAATGACATTAATTAAAGGCCACCCATAGAAGAACTGATGAAGAAGCCAGAAGACTCTAAATTAGGGAGTAGTGGGAGGTTTCTCTTAGTTTTATACGCCTGTGCTGATTTTTTTTTGTTCTGAAGAAGGCAACATATATGATGAGATGGCTCAGGTTTTTTGTGTCTTTAATTAGACAGGAAAAATATAATAAAAAGTTCACATGTGACTCTTGAAAAGCTCACTTTTAGTGAAGCCCTTAATCTCATTTTGAGAGGCTGTTCTCAGGATCACCTTTTCTAAGATATTATTGAGGACACCAGGATACTCCTTAATTACAATTGGAGGGTCTTACCTACATTTTCTCCTAGGGAAGAAATTCCTTTAGCTGATCTTTTAGCTAAGTTGTCTCATACTCTAGACAATCCTTTTTGCATTTTTGATCACCTCCACCTTTTTAGAGAGATCAGAGGAGGAAGGGGGTGAGCTGTTTTTGTTTCTGGCCCTTTTGTACTGTGTTTCAGCTTCAATTCAACCAAAAAAAAAAAGCTCACTTTTAAGGTCAGATATGATTGATGATGTATGCACATCCATCGTTATACATTTGACTGAAGGAAAGCCCTCAATTCCCAATTCCCATACATAGAAGAATCCAATTTAGGCTTATAAAATACTCCCCTCCTAAGTCTAAAAGAGTTTGCTTTGTTTTTAAATAAAAAAAATTTCAATCTTCTTTATTTTTTAAATTTATAAATTTTTTTCTTAAATTTTGTTATTGATTGTGCTTTTTAACCAAAGAAGTAGTCAATTCCAGATGTAAACGATTAAAATAGATACTTTAGGAAACTAGCATATATACATTCTTTATAAAATAACTAATTTAAGTAATTTTTTTAACATTTTAAAATTAATTATCTTGTTCTTACATTTTTAAATTCATATTTTTGTTATAATTAATTAATAGTAAGTTTTAAGATCTTCCATATGCTTCAAATTTTGTTTTGGTTTTAGATACTTCAATTCCATACAGAGCATTTGACATGCGAAGAGGCATTTATATACTCATGGACCTTTGTTTGAACGTTCAAAATTTTTAATTAAAAATTACTGTTACTTTTAGTTTGATCCGTCTTTTCCACATATCACACACTACCAATCATTTGCAAATAAAACTAAAAGATTTCTTCTTTTTTTCTTTGATTTAAAACTTAAACAACGCTTCATCTCTCAATAGACACATACTCTGGTAA